AACCATATTTCCTCAAATCTTTAGTGTAGAAAATAACTGCAAGATATATATTCTGCAAGATGTTGCACTTGGGTGAAAGATTTTCTGAAGAAAAATACACACAGGCAAGTTTGTGGACTCCCCTTTTAGAGCCTAAAGAACTGGCAGTTTCAAAATCATCATAATAGACCAGGATTTGCAAACCATACCTATTCTGTGAAAATGGTTTTGGAAATTTGAGCCATAATTACTGTCCTTGTAAATACCATTTTTACTGTGCTGTTCTTGCAAAAAAAAAAATCTCCCTTAATTCTTTGTTTTTGGAAATGGATTTGAGAGTACTCAGAATTGGTACATACATATACTTGTCTGTTACAGGGACCTGGCTGTATATGCCAGTAGTGCTGTCTCTTCGTATATCCAACCTCACACCAGGGACATACTCTACAGGCTCCACTATTTCCCATTTTTCTTCAAAATAATTATGTCTTGTTGCACATGTGTTAAGTGCTGAAAAAGGATTGTTTAACTGAACAAAACAGTGCTCGATTTTCTTATACAAGTCTGAACCCTTTGTTTCAGGAGAAAAGGTTGTTAAAACTGTCTCTCATGCTTGGTTTTGAACATCCTTAACAACTTCTTCCATAGAAAAAAGTACTGTTTCAACTGTACTTCCAGGGAGACCTGATGCTTGTAAGTGTGCAACAGTTGAACCGCACTACGGACAGCTGATCCGTAGTAACAGAGCTTTGTGGACTAGAAAGTGGAACATGTAAAGTGTCAACAGTATCTGTACATACTGGACAATCACTTGAATTTTCCTCCTCTTGTCCTCCTTGCGTGTTGACTTATCCGCCTTGCATGGGATAGCCTTTTGGTCAAGGACGATGCAGAACCTTCCGATTTTATTCTTTTGCTCACCAGTGCACAGGAGGAAGGGGTGTCTTGCTTCAGCTTGCTCAAGGAAGGTAGTGAGACTGGCTCCTTCCTGTGTCCATTTGGCAAATAAGGTTAGGATTAGTTCAAATATTGTATTCTCAAGCAGTAAAACAATAATTTATTTCTGTTAAATGGCACAAACAAAATTTATATTCTCTTTTTATCAAAAATTAGCTGCAGTTAATAAATTCCTAAAAATATTTATTTCTGGCACAGAAGCCAAACTCAGGTGTCTACAGAAATTAACCTTGATATATCTTAAGATACCTCACAAGATTCTTTCCAGCTTGAGCCAAACCAGTCTTCGCTGTTTTTTAATGCCCTCTTGATGTTTGGGGGAGAAGATGCAGCAGCAAGAGAATTGATGACATTTCACCATCCCATCCTATGGGCAAACTGTGTATGTTAGCCAAATAAAAGTAGTAGTAAAATGCAAGAATACAACAATTTCAGAAAATAAAACTGACCAAAGCTGTTCTCAGGTTCAGGCTAAGAGCAGCTCTTCAACATACGCATTCGGGAGGAGAGTCCTGCAGTCAGCAATGACTTTGAGCTTGAAATACAGTTGAGGTCAAAAGTTTACATACCCCTTTCAGAATCTGCAAAATGTTTATTATTTTACCAAAATAAGAGGGATCATACAAAATGCATGTTATTGTTTATTTAGTGCTGACCTGAATAAGATATTTCACATAAAAACTTTTGAACAGAATGGAGATGTGTACATTTTTCTTATTTTGCCTAAATATCGTATTTTTTCATTTAGTACTGCCCTTCAGAGGTTACAGAAGATAGTTACATGTTTCCAAGAAGACAAAATAAGTTAACCCTGATCTTCAAATTCAAAAAGTTTTCACCCCCCGGCTCTTAATGCATGGTTTTTCCTTCTGGAGCATCTGTGAGCGTTTGAACCTTCTGTAATAGTTGCATATGAGTCCCTCAGTTGTCCTCACTGTGAAAAGATGGATCTCAAAATCATACAGTCATTGTTGGAAAGGGTTCAAATACACAAAAAATGCTGGAAAACCAAAGAATTTGTGGGACCTGAAGGATTTTTCTGAAGAACAGCAGGCAGTTTAACTGTTCAGGACAAACAAGGTAAACAG